AGGAGGTCGCGCTCTCGATGAGCTCCACGAGCGAAATTATTTGCTGCATCCTCTGTCCATATTTCTTCGTCACATCAAGGCAACACGATTGCAAAACATGATTACTGAAAGTATGTGGTGTCTTTGACAAAAATGTCTCTGTTTGCAGAATGCCTAATGTAAAGCGGAGCAACTTCCTTTCCGGAGATGAGTTGCTCCGGATGGAAGAGCTGACGATATGTGCCTGTGCGCACCTCATCAACGACCGTAGGTTCCAGATCCACCTGCAATTCCAAGCAAAATTGTGTTGTGTGCACTTCACGGTGGTTGCAATGGTGCAAAGCAAACTGCTGCCAACGTCATGCCCAAGTAACCATCACGCATCGTGGCACGTGCTTGCCGGCCCCCGTCTCACTGAAAAAGGTATTGAAGGCGTCCTTACATAATGAAGCGGGGTTTAGCTATGATACGAAGTTTCCATGACATGTCATGTTGAACATGCCGGGTCGATTCACCCTTCGCGCTTCCTTGCAGCCCGAATCACCCGGAGACCGCCAAAGATCGCCCAGGAAAACAAGAAAAATCAATTACGGAAGCAAATCCTCGTCAAGTCATCCCGGCAACGGCTTACACAACGATGACAATGGGACTATCTGCACGGTTTACAAATTAACAAAAACGCATGCTACGGTGTTTCGGCCGTTGCGCAAAGCCAAAAGCATTTTTAATGTGATACTGATACTGCCCGCCAAAAGCTCGGGTCTTTCCTCAGCACGCAGTCCAGCAGAAGCCAATCAAGTGTCAACCGGCAACAGCCGATCACACTTCACCAGGCAGTTCTCCATGATTCTATTCAAGCGGAGAGCAACAAAGGGAAGGCACTCATTCACTTACAATTTAGTTTTGGCCGCGGTTGCTCGGATGCAATGTTGAGGGAGGCCTTACTCGAAGGTAGAGACAAAGCAAGCGATGCCGTGGCCGTGCATACCCCCAACGGCAGTGGAGGGTGGGTGAGAAAAAACGCTGGGCTGCTAGCCGGTTTAATCATGCGCGATTCTATGTTGAGCCGCAACGCAGCATGCGGTGCAATGCGTTAAACACATGCACAGCAAGCGGGCCTGATGGAGCCTGCACAAGGATCGCATTGAGTGTCGTCACGGCAACCACACACAAACTTGGATATCAGCAGGCCAGTCACGATGACGGAGGAGAAACCTCCAACAACGCATCGACCAGCATGAAGAACAACAGGTGTTGCCCATGTTGGGCAACAGGGGGCGCGCAAGACAGCCATCATCCGAGGCAGACGAGGAGCTGGAGGCTGCAGGACGCCGTTTCACCACCAGGACCAAGCAAATCAGGGCAGGAGGCGCCAGCGAGCAGGCCATGTGAGGAAAAAATGCCTGGGTGCAACCCATACGGCTGGGCAAAGTTGCACCAAAACTACTGTCGTCCTGACAAGAACAGTACAGGAGGACGACTGACACTATGGACCTCGGAATAGTATTGCTGAGCAGTACGAGTAGGTTTTCAAGCACACCACACATGCAGCAAACATGGAGTCAGCGGCCAAACCCCGCATAACACACTCACACGCGAGGACATCACACAGGCTCACGGCAACCGCATCAAACATCGTCGTCTCTCCTTGGACTTGGTCCGCGGCGGGCTCCAGCAAGTGCAAAGAATCAGACGGAAAACCGACAACACCATGCCGCGCATTGTGCAAAGCCGTGGGCAGGGCAGACGAGCCGACAAGGACTTATGCAATGCAGGGACGTGCCTATCAAGCTCCTCACCGGCCACCGGACCGGATGCATCTTCTTCATCGTAAAAAATGACATGGGTTTTCCTCTTGCAGACTCTTGCGTGCTCTTGTTTTATCCTCATTCATCTTCTTTGTCGAAGATACCCTTGGCATCGTAAACACGACTCCGATGCCGCCGCAACAATAACAAGCTTCTTGCTTCCCAGCCGCTCGGCTCACGAACGAAAGCCACGCCATTTTGCGCATCGGTCCCATCTTATGATTGTCAGGTTTGTGCGGCCCCGTTGTCGCCAGAGCGAGCGCCCTTGCTTGTGATTTTGGCACGGCTCATTGCGCTCTGGAATTGCTCCAAGAGCATGGGCGACCATAGCCGGTCCACCTGCATTTTATGCCTCCCATCGGAAGGATATGTGAAGCCGAAAGCAATCAAACAAAGACTAGGCATGCGCAGCCCAGCAGCAAGCAGACTGCCATAGTACCACATGCAACCTGCAACGCATGCATGCTAGGATGTATAAGCTGCCTCTGCCCATATTGCCTTTGTCCTTGCTGTTGCCCTTGCCACGCTTGACAAAATCAACCTAAGCTAACTGTCGTCGGCACACGGCGTGTAAGACCCGGCGGGGTGTTGCCCTTTCAGCCGTGTGGACGCGCTGTCAGCCACGACCTGGATGCTTTGCAGTAGTCCTTGCGGGTTCTCAGTTGCCCCCAAGGATTGAAGGGCTACACGGAAGGCCATACTCCTCGTCAGTAGCGCCCTGCGTGTGCGGCTTGCCGTGTAGTCTTGGCTGCAAGGCCAGAACCGCCTCTGAAATCACCGATGTTCCGCTGAGAACAATTAAATGATCAAGACCATGTGTACTACAAGTACAATCAGCATGAAAACCACAGATCACCAAACACGGCACCACCACTGCCAGCACTCAAGCAAAGAGCTCCGACGAAACACGTCGTGACAACCACAGGTCCTTAAGATACTGCTCAAAAGAAGGAGAGTGCACAACGCAAACGCTCGAACCATTGAACCGCAAGACCAAGCACAGAGCAAACACCATACGAACAGTCTACGCCCTTGAATTTCACTTGTCGCCACTCACGCACCAGAAGCAAACCAGGTAGCAAATCACCAAGAGTACAACAGCAGGATGCCTAACACAACGCACATACAAGCACGGCCAACGCCAATGATTGGCGCAAGCCTGACGTGGTGCCCGAGTCATGTTAAAAGCGACATCTCGGGCCAAGAACTCAATCAAAAGTAATTAGTGCTGCTGGTGATGCTACTGCGGCGACGGGTAGCGTTGGCTTTTGGATGCAAAAACCCGGTGAAACTGGAAACCGTCACGGCTCCGACCAGAGTCTTTTCCCGTGTCATGTTGCAGTGCCCACACCTAGAATCACAAGAAAAGTATGATACGAACATATCGCAACATAATGTGGCATGCCATGACATACCCGTCGCGGTTGCTATCGAGGGGTCTGGGCAGTGCAGGTAGATTAAGCGTGCAGTTACCACATGCTGTGTTCGCTCTGCTCCAACTTATGCATGACCTTCGACCCCTGTATCGTGACCTGGCTGGTGGTGTACAAGAGCATACCTTAACAAGTTGCAGCAGGCGCCTGGAAACGAGGCAAGACTGACTCAGTTGACCAAGGCTATGGCGCAGCTACGGCCCGCATCAAACAATGCCCACGATTCTCCAAGTGGAATCTGATGAAAGTACGATAGGGCCAAGTATAAGTAATGTCAAAGACCAGAAGCCTTGACAGCAGCTTTCTCCTACTGGACACCTTCTCTGTCTTCTCTAAGTGCGGCGAGGCTTCGTCTCCTCCACCAATCCTCAGATTTCGCTCTGCGCGGCGATGCCGCATGTACACCCTAAGAAAGACCTGTGGAAACCGCCTGCAAATCCCCGAAACGCTACCTCCCCCAAGCTGCGGCCCTGGATCGTCTTGTCGGAGGGCATCTGACCGTCCGGCTGAATGCCGTGCTCGAGGCAGAAGAGCTCCCAGCAAGCATTGCCGATCTGCACGCCGCCCTGCCGGCAGCTGGTATCAGCTGATTGCGACCCCAAGTCCGCAAGCCCAAGCCGTGCCGTAGCTCCAAACCCCCACACGCCCGGAAGCCCATTGTGGGTGAAGCAGCTTACCCGAAAATTAGAAACCAACATGTTCCACCAAAGAGCCGTAAACTCTCGAACCCCAAGCGCTTCAACCTCAAAAGCCCCCAAGCCCTAACCTGCTAAAGCTCAGTGCAGCGCGTGATCTCCCGAGCCGCCTCTTGCTGTTGTCTCCGGTTTGGGGATTCAGGATCGTCTGGGTTCAAGGTTGAGGGATTAGCGTTTAGGGAAGTTTAGGGTGTAGGGTTCAGAGTTTAGCGCGAAACAGAAGAAGCAGCACCAGGCCTGACCGATGTGGATGCAGATTGCCTCACGCATGGCTGAGTACGGAAAGAGTCGGAAGTCACCTCGCGATGTAGTGGCCTCAGGCACCAATCCTGCTCGGGCCAAACAGCCATGTCATGCAGCGCTCATCCTAAACCAGGGATTTAGAACGGACAACAACAAGAAAGACCTGAGTCCCAACCCCTTTTGAGTTTAAACTCATAGAACCCTCTGCCTCTAGATGCCCCTGGGAGCCCGAGCTCAAGCAACCGCAGCGCCGCCGCAACCTTGTCCTTTTGCTCCTTTACAGGTTCAGCTGATTGGGGTTCACAGGGTTTGGCCAAGTCTCAGGGGGATCTTTTTGCCTAGTGGGATGCTTCGAGGATGCTGTGCGGCTTAACTAAGACCGAAGGAAATGATCGTGCCTGATGCCCGGGTAAGGGCAACGGGTTGAAAGGTTTGGGTCTTGGGTTTGTACCTGAAGCGCTTGATTGTGGTAATTATAAATTTCGTAAAAACTACATCCTGAATCCTAGGGTAGGAACAAAGACGGCTCCAACCTATGTCCAGCCAGCTCAAAGCCCGCACCAACTTGGGAGTCTCATAAAATGAGAAAAACCGCAATGAAAATCCTACAGGCCCTACATACCATCAAATGGCCACTATGTTGTACGCAATCTTGGACCCCTAAGTAAGGTGCCCTTAACCATGACCCCCACTTTGAATCTCTGCATATTTCCGAAAGCCACTCTTAACCAAAAACCTCTGAACCCCATAGAAAGCTTCTAAGCGCCCATACTCCAAGCTCCAAAGCCCACCCATTTCTCGCGGTAGGCGCCTGGTCCTCGTAGCCGGCCATGTGATAGCAAGAAGACCTGTAGCTCATATAGGGGCCTTAATAATTGCCTCTATTATTTTTGGGTGGTTCCTTATTATAATGATAGTATAATATACCCCCAACCCTTATCCTATTCATTTTGGTCGCCGTTAATATCTGCAGCTTGAAGCTTCTTAAGAAAAAGCCTACGGGTCCATGGACCCAAAGAGTACATACTTTGGCGCCAACGTACCTATCTCGGGACTACTTTAAGGCCACAGTATATGCTGTTTGGGCATGGGCCGCTAAGGAAATACCCACCTGTTTCTGGCCTGGAGTTTAGATCCTACATTTTTAGGGCCTGGAGGTTGAGATGGCTTCGGGGCTTCGGGGCTAAAGCTTTAGGGGTTTAGGGCTTAGGGTTTATAGGGTTTAGGATGCGGATGCGGTCAGTGAGAGTCTCACGACGCCTGTGAGGACAAACCTCATATGGACAAAAACATCAGCTCCTCACGGTTTACGACTAAACCCTAAACCCCTAAACCCTGGAGATTGGAGTTTTACGGTTTAAGGCCCCCGAAACCTGAAGGCCCCGGCGTATTCTCAGCAGAGAGGTGCACGATCTCCTGTTTGCAGAATAGCTAAGCCTTCAGGTTTTTGAGGGTTGGGGTTAAGTTTACTATATGGGGCTTAATGTTAAAGGGTTGGGGATAAGTTTATTATATGGAGTTTAATGAGGGTCAAGGCGTGGCTAAGGGTTTAGGCAAGCTCTTTTGCACTGTGGATGCTAAGCCGTAGTGATGCGGGTCTTACATCCACGGTTCCATGCACCCGATCTGGTGGAGATACCGTGCCCAGAATCGAGACGCTTTGAGTTCCTGTCCTTTGAAGACGATTCTCTCGAAGAGGGTCAGGAGACGCAGTATGTAGGGTTACACCGGGCTTGTAGGTTTACGGGGCTTATGGATGGGCCTGCATAGGATCTGTAATCGAACATAGAAGTCGAACTTGAGGCAAAGGGTCTCTTGAGGCGCGGTACAGACTGAATCTGCAAACGAAGTCTTCAAGCACCTTTGCCCCCGCGCCTTTGCGATGCGCCGGACCTGCGGAAAAGCGGGAGTTTGACCCCGAACTCTACAAACGGGCAAAGCTTGCTATATGCATCACGCTCAAACTTGTCGGGCATGGCGCTCTTGCTGGCCGAGAGCTTACACATCATGAAGCAAGCCCTCAGGCCGTACATGTTGGCGCCGCAGCGCCACTTATAAAACAAGATTTAAGTCCCACCTCGGTGTGTGCCGCCATGTCTGCTGCCGAGCGGCCTCAGCTTCGGGAGATGTTGCTGCAGATTTTTGCTGCTGCTGCTGCTGCTGCTAGCAAGCAAACCTAGGCGGTTGCTAATCATCCTCCCTACACGACCTTTGTCGTACTCAGGCACTAAACACACGACCCTAAGCCCTATCTTAGACTATCCCGAACACCACGTCCAAGGCATTTACTTACCTATTCCTCCAGCCTATCGGCTTTAGAGCCAAGGGGCCCTCCTTTTGCAGGGCCGCCAGGGCCTTCTTCAGGGCCTCCTGCTCATCCTCCGCGCTTCACTTGCTTTTTGTTTTTCGACAAGGGCGGTTCTGAGGTTCTCATTATAGGTGTTACGGGACTGCTTAATAATGTTTCATGGGGATTTGCCAGGACTCTTTAAGCGGCTTCAGGGTTCGGGGAGGGTTAAGGCTGAAGTAGGGCTGCGGAGTAAGAAGAAAAGGTGGTGTTGGAGTGAACCCGGGCACAGGTGTTGTAAAGCAGGTTGGTTGGGGTTAGCAGGGGTGGCTCGCTTGGGCTGGGGGCTCCTGGCAAGACTTCAGGTAGATCACCGGACTTATCGGGGTTGGGAGGTTTGGGTTTCATGTTTGGGGTACTGGGCTTGTGGTGTCCTATTAGGACCTGTAGGAACTGCAGTATCGCAACCGTGAACATTTCTCCACCGGCGTGCGGCCTGCTCATCTCTGGGCACAGGCCGCCGCCGGGAGTTCTTCGGCACCTTTGCTTGGGGCGGTTTTTCACTGGCTTTCGGGCCTTGGGCGTTTCGGGCTTACATGACTGGTCGTACCGTTCTGGCGAGCTGTGAGCTTAGTAAGCTGAATCCTGTCAAGCACTTTTATCCCTGCTCAGATCAGCCAATCGGCCGCCTTTGTGGGAATGGGGGTCGGGCACTCTTCTTTCAGCTTGGGATTTATTCATGCAAGGCATGGTTGCAGGCTTGCCCTTGCGCATTTGGGATTTGTTGAAACATGTCACAGTCAACGCGGAGTGTGGCACCAAGACCCCCAGACCCTAATTTCGCAACGCGAAACCCCAGAACCGTAAAACCCGAAGCCCCATAATCTGTCCCTGAACCCTTATCTCCAAACCCTAAAACCTGAACCCTACAGCCAAACACCTTACCCAAAACTCGAAGCTCTAGAAGAACTCCCATCCCAGGTGCCAGAATTCGCTGGCAGATCTGAGCGGTGCCTGCTGGCGATTTAAAGTGTTCGGGTTTATAGGGCTCATAGGGGTCTAAGGCTTGGGGCTAAGGGTTTATGCGGCCCATATCGTGGTTCACTTGGCGGTTTAGGATTCCCCTTCAGACCTTTGGGCTTTGGCATTTGAGAGTTTGAAGCTGCTCAAGCATCCACGGGGCGCCGAACACTCGGTAACATACTCCTTCAGCTTTATTTTTGGTTCTGGGGTTTAGAAAGCCCTCGGCTAAGATCCCAGGTGCTTTGCTGCCTATACGGCTGCAAGTGGTGAGCACGAAAGCTCGACAGAGTCTAACGAAATAAGCCGAAACTTTAACACACTTTCACTTTAACCATTACCCCAAACACTACATCCTAAAACCGTAGACCCGAAACCGGAGGCCTTAGGAAAGAGGAGGTGGATCTGAATGCGGGTCTGCTTTCAATACGATTCCTTGTGCTGATGACCGACAAACTTAAACGGTACCTCAAAGGCAAGACTCGCCTGCACCCTAATGTAGGGGCCTTATAGATAATTAGAATATGGGAGCTAGGATTGGGGGGACCCTTGGGGATATAGACCCTCTCCATAAGGTCCCTTTTAAGAGAGCCAGAAGTAGGGTTCAGAAGGGGTACCCTTTAAGGGGTACCCCTAATAATACTACCTAGAATAGGCTTTTGGGGTATATTATACCATAATTACAACAAGGAACGGCCAAAATAGTATAGGTAATTATTAAGGCCCCTATATTAAACCCCGCAAAGACCCTGCAGCCTCCGACGAGCAGCAAGCCAGTCGGATTGGGTGGCAACTGGCCGGGAAGGGTACTGGGCTTGGCTTCAGGGTTTGGGTTTTTTTTTAAGTGCAGTGGCCCCTTTCTCCTGCAGGACAGGTCTGAGAGCCCGCTCTGTACCGGGTTTGGGTTTAGGGTTCGGGGTTTGGGGTTCAGGGGTTGGGTGGTTCAGGGTGTCCGGTCTTAATTTCTTTGCCGCACGACTCCACGGATTCGGATGCATTTTTGCATCGAGAGCCCTCGTTTGAGCGTGGCTGTCATGTTTCGGCAAGCGTTTAGTTGGCGATGGGCACGGTTCGAGCCGTTATGTTTGTGATATTCAGAAGCTTTTGGGTGCAACGCCACAGTCCAGCTTTATCTTTGGAAACAACCAAGCTCCTATATCCAACACCAAAATCTCCAATCCATGCACCATGCTTGTGCAAATTCCGCCAAACCACTGCAAGACCCTGGAGAAACAGATGAGGATCTTGGCAGACCATAAAGTGTAAAGCTACACAGTCGTCAGGCAAAACGCTGCAGACCCAAAACCTCAAACCCCGTAAGACCTCTACCCTACACCGAAACCCGAAATCTCAAAATCCCCAGACTCCAGATGTCCGTGGACCTTCCTCGAAGGCCTTGAACCAAAACAGAAAACGCCGATGTCCTTAAGCTTCTTACGGAGCCCCTTATGGACCACTTGTAGAACCCCTTGTTGGCCCCTTGTAGACTGCCTTTCAGAGCTCCGTATAGAATTCCTGACAGAAACCCTTATAGAGCCTCTTTTACCCCAAGACAAGCTGAATTATAGAGCCTCTTGTAGAACCGCATTCTAGAACTCCGTAGAGAACTGGAAGTCGAAACCGTCGCAGACCTCCGCTGCGAGGGCCAACTCTTTTCGCAGTGCCTGCAGCTCCAACCTCGGAGCGATCGAGGTTTAGGGTGTACCTTAACCTACCAAAA